CACTTCAAAAGGCTATGGTTTAATTGATTAAATATGAGCGCTGCAGGTTGCAAAATCAGATGCTGCGCTGCTTTACAGTGGTTATCGGGAAAATGGCTATATTCCTGGCGAAAAGCAAAAGAATGAAGAGAGAATGAATTTGCATTTTTCAATAAGCCCTTCTGCTGTTTAGACCAAAGCCAAAAACGACCCTTATTTTTATGCAGAAAACACGCAGTTTAAATAATTGTTTGATAATAATTGTTTAAATGAATATAATAAATTAATATAATAATTGATACTTTTGCCCCCTCCCCCCCGGCACCCGTTTTTTGGGACCCAAATATTGGCAGGTATGTTATATGAACATCAGAATAACAGCATCTGTTGATTGTGTCTCATCAGCTCCTGTGATTCTGGATCCAAACACGGCTCATCGATGTCTCGTTCTGTCTGATGATCTGACCAGTGTGAGAGACAGCTTCAACAATCAACCTGTTCCTGATAATCCAGAGAGATTTGACTTGTGTCACTGTGTTCTGGGTTCAGAGGGGTTTAACTCAGGAACACACTGCTGGGATGTGGAGCTTAAACAGAGTAAATGCTGGAGTCTTGGAGTAACTACAGCATCAAACCAGAGGAAGGGACGGGGTTTCTTTAACACTGGTGTCTGGAGTGTGTGGCACGGATGGTCTCCAGGTTCTGGTTTTGGTGTTGAACAGCATCTTGATCGTGTGAGAGTGAATCTGGACTATGACGGAGGAACAGTGTCATTCTCTGATCCTGTAACTAACACACATCTACACACATTCACAACCACATTCACGCACACACACTTTCCTGTCTTCAGTTGTTCTTCCTCTGTGAGGATCTTAGGGATTGTAGAAGATTTTTATTGATCAGAATTAGGGCTGTGTGATTTGGGGGAAAATATCTAATTGCGATTTTTTATTTTTGACAGATATAACACGGCTCATCCACGTCTCGTCCTGTCTGATGATCTGACCAGTGTGAGATACAGCAGGAACAATCAAACTATTCTTGATAATCCAGAGAGATTTGATGAGTTTCCCTGTGTTCTGGGTTCAGAGGGTTTTAACTCAGGAACACACTGCTGGGATGTAGAGCTTAAAGAGTGTTCAGCCTGGACTGTTGGAGTAACTACAGCATCAAACCCCAGGAAGGGACGTGATTGTTTTAACAATGATGTCTGGAGTGTGTATCAGTATGGACGGTCTTTGCGTTCTGGTTTTCGTGTTCAACAGCAGCTTGATCGTGTGAGAGTGAATCTGGACTATGACAGAGGAAAGGTGTCATTCTCTGATCCTGTAACTAACACACATCTGCACACATTCAAAACCACCTTCACTCACACACTCTTCCCATTCTTCAGTAGTCCTGACTCTCTGAGGATCTTACCCTTCAATAGTTAGTAATAGTTACTCCTGTAGGTCTGGATCTTCCTGCTTTCATCTTTTGTCATGCCACATGAGCAGTGGTGGAGGTAATGAATTACAACTACTCACGTTACTGTAATTAAGTAGGTTTTTTTGGGTACTTGTACTTTTTTGAGTATATTTTTAAAGCTGTACTTTTACTTGTACTTAAGTACAAATTAAGCAAAATAATCGACTTCGTTATTTTTAAATCATAGTTCGTTACTCAGTACACCCACAATTTGAATTAATATTCAAACCTTTGATGGCACTTCAGTAGCCAAAGATATCCGATCGTGAAGGGACCAATAACAGCCCTGATATCTGAAGCGGGAAAAGCCGCCGCTGCAGCAGGTTTTGAAGAGCTGAGACAGCGAGGGAGCTCAGCGTAATTTATGGACTCAAAGTTTGGAGAAACAAACTACATGGTAGTGTTATCATAAATATCTATATTTTGATACCGATACTGAAACATCTGACACGGTTCCATAACTCATTTTCCATAGTATCTACTGAATATACACCGATACAAGCTGCGTGTCTCTCTTTCCTCTCCGACAGTGAGTTTGACACACATCCTCCTTCTGTCAATTACAGAGTCTGAATGTCCGCGTGGGATTGCAGGTAGGCTATTCCGCATAATTTTAATAATTCCTGTGCAAATGTGGCGAGTGCTTTATTGTAACATGAGAACACAGTCATGTAATCACAGAAAACTGGATGCGAGCTCTCAAATAGGCCTAACTTATACAAATGAACTGCCTGTCCTCTCACTCCGATATTGCTTGTGCGCAGATTGTGTGCAATCGCGATCTCTCCGTGCTTTTAAAGAATAAATTATTTCTTTTTGCTCCTGGATTAAACTTTGTCAAAAGTTATCATCCATTCAGAATAGATCCACGCCTTACCGATGAAAATCCTACTGGAAATTTTATTGGCTGTAAGTGAAATGCACCAGAAAGTCTTTCAACAATCAAAGATGGAACTTTAATTTCTTTACAATGTAAGTATGCTAGAAATGATTTGGAATGGGATATTTGTATGATTTGTACATGTAAATATCCTAGTCTGTCTAACTGTATCACTACATTGTACAGACATTACAGGTCAAAGCCATCTGATGTTCCATTTATCTAAATAAATAACATATATGGCTCTTAAAACACTGCCTATGAAAATTCAGTATTGTCATATTTCGAGTATCTCAACTGAATTGAGGTCATTTGTTTTATAATTTTAGTACTCTTTCCACCACTGCACATGAGTAAGAGACTGTTGATATGAATATCAGATCAGAAAACAAGTACATTCATTCATCTTTAAATAAGAGCAATTATTAAAACACATGATGAAGGGTTAAAATAAATCATCTTATTCATATCTGACCAATGTGAAACAATGATGTGTCATGAAGCCCCGCCCATTTTAGAGTCACATTTGTAGGCTAATTGCCATTTACCTGATTATTGTACGGTGACCGGGCAGGGATATGTTCGGTTCACTTAGTTTAGTCATGGCCACGACATATTAACTTGTGGGAACGTGATAATATGTTGTGGCCAAGAGATATTAATTTGTGGAAGCGTCATATAAACTCGTGGGAACGTGATAAAATGTTGTGATGTGAAGTCGTGGCCTTCAGATCCTATGTTGAGGGAACAACATCCATTTCTTGTCGCCACGACTTCTTATTTTGAGGGAACAACATATTTTTCTTGTGGCCACATGTTTGATGTATAAACAGACCTGCATGACCATAGCAACCTGCGATTATCAGAGATGGATAAAACATTTTTATCCTTCCCACAGTCTTGTAAATTTGTTAACTGATCGTGTCTTTTTATTTAATATTTGTATATTGTTATTATTATTACACTGTAATTTAATAATATTATAATAATATTATATTAACTGGTTTAGGGCTATATTTTTATATTTATTGTTGTATTTCCCCTTTCAATTCATGTATCGCTTTACCTAATTAACGTTCTGTATAATTATTATAAATATGCTAGCATATATTTTGCAAATACTGTAAACGCCTGACAATTATGCCAATATATTTTTGACTTTATGACTGTGTTTACGCCCCTGTGTGACGATAAATAAGTGTGTTGTTTTCATTTACAAATGATACACAAATGATTAATTCCTCAACGAAACACTATAGTATTTATAATTATAGTCTATTAATTACCTGAAATAAAATGAAATATATGTTAAATTCAACCTTTAAACTGCACTTCTAGTAAAAATTCCAGTCATACAGCATAATCAAAGCTTTATTTGCATGTCGAGCATTTACAGTAGGCTATTATTCACAAAACTATTCAGAAGGTTAAGTAAAGAGATCGAAATGAAATACATAACAATGAATATAAAAATATAACCAAAATAATTATAATAATAATATACAAATATTATGGAAAAAAAGACGATCAGTTAATGGACTTACAAGACTGTGGGATGGATAAAAAAAATTATAGGAATATTTTATATATTTTTTTTATTTTTAAGAAAAGTGTGTGTTTTATGTTCGGTCACAATTGTTAACGGTGGGATAATGTGTATACTGAAAATTCTTAAATAGCCTATATCAGCCCAGTTATTTAACACATTTTAAACTCTTTCATGTTGTAAACCCTTACACAACACTTACAGGAATACTGAGATAAAAGACAAAAAAATTAATAAAAATACAACGTTTTATTGCAGTGAAACATTTTAGTCGTCTATCGGGATCCTTAGGAATACGATAAAATGATTTCCCCTTTGCTTTCCCCTGCCTATTCTGGCATCCTGGCACACAGCAGCTGTCCACCATGTTGAAATAGTAAGGTTTGTAAGATCTAAACAGTCTAGTTTTAAATGATTGTTCTACTACTGTCGATACCAATACTACAGCCACTCTAGTGCTCTCCTGACTGCCTGCCAAAATGGCAGAGTTTAGATTGCGTGACGTCAACTCTGGAGCTCTATAATATGTTTTTTTATTTATTTTTATTTATTAATTTGCAGGGCTTTTTGTTTGTTTTATGGAGAGCTTGTCTAAACAGGCCAAAAAGAGACTATTAACTACTTCTCATCCTTTTAATTACACAAATGTCTACAAATTGATAAAACTGATCCGAGATCAGAGACACTGGTTCAATGGTTCGCCGCTGGGAGGCGATCTAAATGAACTTGCATGATTCACAGGTTCACACAAACATCATCGCCCCCCAATGGCAAACTATTGAATTTAGAAACGTTTCCAAACAGTTATGATGTAACGAAGCCTCATTTACTGAAATCACGTGACTTTGGCATTTTGATACGTGCTCCGAACCACTGTTTTGAAACAAATTATTCACAAAGGTTTCGAAGCTTCATGAAGTGACTAACACAAACACACTCACTTTGCGAAGGCTTGTTTCACTGGTGGACATTACTGAGCGTGTTTCCTGGTTTTCCTTATCTTGTTTTTGCCGTGCCGCGCCTTGCCTTGCCTGTGTTTTTGACCTTGGACTGTTTCCCTGTTTTTTTGTTATTATTTGCTGCCTGCCCTGACCTTTGCCTGTTTTGGATTACTCTTTTGCCTTGCCCTGGATATATAGTTGTTTGCTGGTGTTTGACCTGCCTGTTTTGACCAAGATCACTTTTAATAAAAGCTTGCATTTGTATCTTCTTTGTCACACCCTGTCTGTTACAGAAGACTTCACCCAGCATAGATCCAGCAGCTTTACCAAGCACCAGACCAGCTATGGATCCAGTTTCTCACCTCATTCATCTTCGTCAGGGAGATCGGCCTATTGAGGATTACGTGGCAGAGTTTTGTGAACTGTGTGACCAGGTGGGTTTTAATGACATTGCCCTATTAGTCATTTTTTGTTTTGGCTTAGCTAAAGGAATATCGTGTTTAATGCCACCACATACCCCACACAATATCCCATTAATTTACTGTGGGGATTGCTGATGAGGAACCCTGCAATCTTCCAGTACCCACCACACCAGAGCATTTTCACGTCCCGACCGTCATGTCTGGATTTATTCACATCATGCCTCCCAAGCCAGGGCCTGTTCCCATCATGTCTGTAAAGCCAGGGCCTGCTCACATCAAGCCTGCCAAGCCAGGGCCTGCTCACGTCATACCGGTCAAGCCAGGGCCTGCTCACAAGATGGCCAACTCTCAAGAGCCTCTTCACAAGATGGCTGCCACTCAAGAACCTCTTCACAAGATGACCACCACGGCTGAGCCCCTGGCCAAGATGGCCACCTCGCCATGCCACGGCTATGGCCAAGATGGAACTTGGGCCAGGCCAGTCGAAAAATGATTGCCAGTGTAATGGACCCACCTCTGATGCCAGTGTGAGCGGCTGGTATCCCAGTGGTCTATACGCTCCCAAGCCTCACAA